TTGGCCTTTCTTGAAATTCGCATATGTACTTTCCCCCAAGGGCACTAGTGGAAATGTGAGGTAGTCCTTAACGTGCCAGGATTTAGAGCTGCAGTGACATGGTTTAAGTCCCGCTAGGGATGCTGATGAGATCAGTTCAAGCGAGGTCGAAACTTTAAATCATCCCAATTTGGATGAGAATATCCTTTGGGAAGTAAGCCTATGTGGCATTCAATGGAAACTTAAGATCTACTCATATCATTGTAGGAAAATTTAACCATCAGTCCCCTTATCACCTTTCACGAAATATGGTGCACACACCTCATACATATGATCAATGGAGAGTCTGCCAGGCACAATTTTATAGGCATGCAGTCTTCCAAAGATGGTCAACGCATATTGGTTCACTCAAAGAATACCCGCTGCCTAATGCGGCCAAGCCGGTCTGGAAAGCGGTCCAAGTCGGCGTACTTGTCTGCACTTCGCTCGAGCCAAGAATGGGCAGAGCTGCCCCGGCGCTGATGTGGGAAGACTGGTAATGTACCCACCTTATGCAACAGCGGGAGAAGCTGTCTTGAGTTGAAGGCCGGCTGATGTCGAGGCGAGCACAAGTTAGCAGGAGCATTGTCTGTCACTGGCGGTCGCTGTCGCGGAGAGGCCCCTGACGGGCCTGCTGTAGGGAGGAAAGATGCGGCCTCTGAGGCAAAAGCGGAAGCGGATGCGCCGGTTGAGATGGAGGAGGATGGAGATGCCAAGGAAGAAGGCGACGCCTTCGGGTAGACGGTGGGTCTTGAAGGCGGACGAACCGACGGTTGCGTCTGAGCAATCCCCGTGGGAGGCGGTTGTAATTGACGCAACACGGTTCGCAATACTTCAGCGCCGTCTTTAAACAAGGCAGTGTGATACTGACAAGCCAGAGTGGAAAAAAAGCAGATGGACGAGTTGAGTGAATCAGAGCATTAGGGCAAGGCAGGACGAAAACTGGACCAAATCGAGTGTAGTGTGTCTAGACAGTCACCTTCGAGAACGACGTTATAGGCTCTGGGACTAATCGAATTGATTCCAAATACCATTTATTTCGGCCTCAACTTCAAAATAGAACTAGCCAAGAAAATTCTACGATATATTCCGAAATAAAAGACGTTCTCAAGCGATATTGTAAAGCAGGCCTCAGCACAGGCAGTCATTGTAGTCTTAGCAATCATAGAATTGCACAACTACCTTATATTGAGCTGATACTGAATCCGAGAAGAAAATTGGGTCAAACACAGCAAGACGCAAGTAGTGAGGGCCGGTATTCGCTAGATAATATTTTTTTAATCGAAGGTATAAAGACCAAGATGGTGTGGCCTTTTGTGTGGTCGCAGTCTCCTTTCGTTCTATAGAAGTTGTTTGACCTTGTTTTGGCAACTCGGTCATATTGGTAGGAAAACTTAGAGCAACGCAACTGGTCCGAGCCCATTGTATGTATAATCATTTCCAAAGTCGGACCGTCGGCGTGGTACATTCCCAGACGTTTCGCCGGCATCGTAGTCAGCATCGTCTGTGAGTTTTGCCATTCGTAGCACCATATTACAACTCGACAAAGAGACAAGTGAAGCCGATCCTTAGACCAAACGTGTGCTAAACAGTTATTGTATCTCCCGTTCTGCCCTGGCCTATTCACATTTCCTACATCCTCCTATCACACATTCACTGTCACTATTTTTTTACTTGCTTAATTAGATGTGGTACGATGTGCCCTTTTCTATCTCTAATACCGAGTCTATCTGTTTCTATCTCTAATACCAAGTCTATGACTTCCCAGGCCCTAGTCTCTTGTGTGCCAACCCACAAATATTGTGGTACTGCTTGCTTGGACTAGGTTCAATGTTGAACCACACCATTTGTGGGTTGGCACAGAAGAGACTAAAGCATAGAAAGTCATAGACTTGGTATTAGAGATAGAAACAGGATAAACGCGACGGCGATGCGAGCTAGTGGGCTGACAATAGGTTTTATAAGAGACGTGGTCCATGGTCCATGTGGTCCACAGTCCGAGTTTGGAAATGATCATGCATACAATGGACTCCGGACTAGGTGCGTTCCTCTAAGTCTTTCTACCAATATG